GTTAAAAAGAAACATATTTCATTTCTATGAATAAAAAAGCTAAGTATTAAAAAATTGCCTTGTAGGGGGTTATTATTTTGTGCAGTCTGCCTCTGTAACCAGCAAAGCCGTGTTTTTTCCTTGGTATTTACTTTCTATCACAAAGCTCCAACTCGCTAATAATGTGTCGGGATGATCTAATGTATGATCAATGAGGATGGGGGCACTATCTGTCATCTGAAGCTGCTCAATATTGCATTATTAAAAGGTAAATCTTACATTCTCTCAGTTAAAACAACATCCCAGCAGGCACATGTCAGCAGGGCACAAATAACCAACACCATGGCATAGGTCACGTGATCATAAAAGGGGGCAACTAATTAGTAAGAATGAGCATAATTTTAAGATTTCACATTTTTATTACTCAGTTGAGCTTTTGGTTTATGGAATGTTACATTTTTTACTGATAGGTCTGGTTTTAAACAATCCACTTGAGAAAAGGCTGAAGACAGCATTTTCTAAAAAAAAAGGTTTGCTCCACCAGACGTGTGCAATGGAGTCTACAATTTTTATTTATCCCCCATCTCAGCTGATGTCACTTGTTCAGCTCAATGTGTAGAAAAGGTGACGCAGTTTAAAATGATAAAAGTCTCTGCGTGCAAGAAAGCCCCTCTAACCTCGCCCTTAGGATCATTCAATTAACTGTACGTGACGCACACAGTCACACAAGTCTAATAGTAAAAAAAGATTCATTCCCATTTAGAAGGTCCAAGCCCCGTTACTCCTCCACATTATATTGCTAATTTTCCTTAATGATCTCCAGCAAACGTTTCTTTCACCAACATTTTAAATGCTGGATTTTTTTTAGTTTTTTTTACAGCCAATGTAAAAAAAATACGGGAAGATCTTCTTATATAATGTATTTGTGCTATTCGTATTTTGGCATTCGGTAATTACAAAAAAATAAATAATCTATCAAACATAATTTACACTTGACACACACAAACATTGAAAAGTGCCTGGTTGTATGTACACTACAGACTGGTATTACTCCATAGAAATCTTCTAAGTGGGACTGGACCTTTCATTTCTGATATGCAGGTTGCAATGACAGCAATAGTATGTCAGTGGTGTTTGGAACTGACCCTCCAGCAACTGAGATGTATTTAAGATTTCAGCTGGGTTTAAAAAGATGGCCAGAGGGCCAAGACTAAAAAGCCACTTTTTTATCATTGCTTTAGTTACACACAGGAACACATATTGAATTATTTAATAACACAGAGCCTAATGCAGCAAAAGCATCTGAAAGAAATTTAATGTAAGCAAAATATATGCCCTGCCCATAGCAACCAATCAGATTCCAACTGACATTTTTTCAGCACGCATAAAAAATGTAAAATTCTGAAACAGGCAACACAGACATTTTGGTTGATGGCCAACTACACCCAAAAGAGATATTTCCGTTGGGTTTGAGGTTGAGTTGGCCATCGCCTTTTTATATCTCAACTTACGGTGGCAAGACTTCCACCTAGTAGTTTGTCTCCACACCCCTTCCTACAAATCTACAGGCATCACAGGAAGACTGACATCATTTGACTTTGTAGTTGGGTGGAAGTGGGAGATAATTCACCACTAGAGTTCATTAGAAAAACAAAGGTCGCTCATGGCTCAATTTTCTAAGCACCTCTCAAAACTGAAATGCCAGTTTTGGATTAAGCTGACCTTTAGCACATTTGCATGCATGAGGCCCAGTGATGCCTCCTGACAATCAGATGTTATTTTTTATCCGCCTGATATTTTTTTAGAAAGCTGTCTGGCTGCCAAGGATTACTGCATATTAATGATTCTACGGTGCCCACACATGTCTCAATCCAGTTGTCCAATTTGACAAAATTTTACAGGGGTGAGGAAACATAAAGTACAACTAAAGGCTCCTGTATGAGAGTCTAAACAAGTCCTACATCTGTGTGGGATACACAGACTTACAAAGTAAACTTTATTACCTTCCCTGACTGAGCCAAATCCTCCTTTATTTGTGTCTCTCATGCTCCCCCTCCTAGACACTGCAGCTCACAGTGGGAGGGTTTCAGTAGCACAGACAGTTCTGCCAATCCAGAATGGAGTGGTGGGAAGGACTAGGTGTGATCAGGTGCTGATTGACATGCTTACAGGCTTGTGTATCAGCAGTGACAATATTGATAGTCTTGCCCCCTGCAAGATCTTCTTATTCCTCTGTAGTATAAACCAGGCACAGCCTACATGAGAATGGCAACTCTGCTCTGAATTCAAGAGCAGTGAAGCATTGTTGTCACATCATTTCGGTAAACTGCGCTATGCTGTCTCCAGGCTCATCTTTCTATTTGTGGGCAAAATGAAAACTGTAAGTGTGACTGCACTCATAATTCAGTGCAACAGGACATATTTTTTAAAGGGAGGCCCTATTTCTTTACTTTAAGGTCTATCCATGCATGTCTCCTTCTACTTTCAATCAATTTATAAGGTTAATGTGAAAAAGAAGCAGTCAGTCTGAACATTTTTCAGTTGTTTCTGATGTAGTTTTAGCATGTCTGAACATTTTTCTATTCCAATGGAATCTTTGAACCCTTCTTCTGCCATATTTGGTTTCACTCTTAGCTGCTGGCTATGTATTAGAAGTAGCATGTAGGAGAATGTGAACACCACTCCATGCAATGTGTCCCTTGCTGAGTTGTACCTCCTGGGTGCTAGGGATCAAAATGAAGGATGTCAGGATGTAAAGAGGACATTTGTTCACTGATCTCTGCAGTGAAGAATGAACTCAGAAGCACTCGTCTCTGAGGAATTCTGGGTTCAGAGCCTTCAACCTCTGGCTTCTCAAACAGGAAAGGAGGGTTGACACCATTTTATACTACAGGCTCTCTGCTTACAGAAAATAGGGATTGGATGGGGGGGGGGGGGGTTAAAGTAAGCCTCATACCTAAAATCTCTGTTCAACATTATTACAGAAAATGAAAAAAAAAAAAAAAAACAGGTCCAGCAGCAAAAGGGTTACAGCACAATTGAAGCTAACATTTTTATCGCTGTATTGCAGTCAGGCTGCATAAACACTAATACATGTGGGTGTCGTTTTATTGTACTATAGGGCTAAAAATAGGTTAAAATGCTCTGTAATGGTAGAATACTTAAAATCCAGACCATTGCTCCACCAAAAACAGGCAAAACACAGCAGGTCTCCAGTGCGCTGACACGCCCCCTGCACAGTGCTCCAATCAAAAGCACTCATGATCCCCATGCAGGAATTTTGATTGGAGAATTGTGCAGGGGACTTGCTGGACCACTGGACTCTGTATTAAGCAGCAGCTTCTCATTCCCCGAGCAACAATGTGGCTGGGGGCATGATGCTCTATGTTGAGCAGCAATCCAGCTCTCATGCATGCTGCCAGCACAAGGCATATTTCAGTACAATAGTACAGGAAAAAAAAAAACACCACATTTATTACTCTTTATGCAGCCTGACTGCAGTACAGTGATAAAAAACAAAGCTTCAGCAGGGCTTTAATGTCACCTTGCAGCAGCCCTTTATATGGCCTTTAATGCATGGGAAGAAGCTTGGCTGTGATTTGCTTTGAGCGAGAGCTGTCAGTGACAGATCTCAGTGACAGATCAGTCAGTGTGCTGGGAGCACTCAGTGAGGGTGCTCTCAGCACACAACCTCAGGCCTGGATGCATATGTTCGGTAGCTGGGTGTTAAAGCCCATTGTTCTTGCTGCTGCATATATGGCATATTGGTAAAAGGCTAAGCTGTCTACAGACACAAGCTAACAGTCAACTGATCCACCCTCAGCTCTATTCGACCAGCAGCCAACCTCCCTTCGATGGGAATATTGATTGGACCTATTTTTTTGCCAATCATTACTGTTCCCATTAATTGGCTCATTTACCTGTGCGCCTCGGAAAAGTGATCCCTGCTGGATCATTTTATAGAGGTATTTGACAAGTGGCTCACAGGCAATATGGTACCTCCTGCACTGCACTATGCTGCAACCTTTTACATTACACACAGTTGCAGCACTGTCCCACTCACTTCAATGGGTTCTGTTTGACAGCAGTACTGCCTGCTAAATGCGACAGGTTGGTGTAAATTTTACCCCCGTCACCCCGCTGCACCACAACTGTGCCAATGTCTACTAATGTGGCTACTGATAATATTAACTTGGTGTTCGGTAAAACCGCTGCTCAACTGCCTGTTTTTACTTCTCCTTGTCTGCACAGGTGAACAAGCCCCCAGGAATAAAAACAAACACTTGGCTGAAACCAGTATTCCTCAATACCTTGGCATTAGAAGGTGGGATCTATGTCTTATGCAGGCTGTACATGTGCCAATTTGCAGGAACTTTCAACCCAACAATTAAATGCGACCCAAGACTAACAGGTCTACTGACATCAATGAATAAAAAATGTTGGTGTGGAGTTTCCTCGGTCCATTTAGTTGTTTTTGCAACTGGAAATTGCCATGTGGTCAGCATGAGAGGGCAAAAATGAATACAATTTAACAAAAAAAAAACCATTCGACTCAAATATCCAATGGCATTGACAACTAGAAAATGCATGCGTGGCACCATAGAAATAAAAACTCCTAGATCTGAATCAACCTTGTCAGTAAAAATCCAAAACAAAACAAACAAAACAAAACCAAAAAAACTGTGCCTGCTGCTTTAGCCCCATGTTATTAAATAAAGACTCCATACTGAATCATCATCAATACCACATAACCTGAGTAGAATGACAGTTTACAACATTAGCTCTTTTTTTTTCGAGATTCTAAGTAGATATTGCACAGTAGCGCTTTGACTTTATAAATACATTGAACTCCATTTATGAAATGGATTGATCATGTTAATGCCATGTCCGAATGTTATCGAGCACAAAGATTCCCCTGTGGATCTCAATCCTATTGATTTCTTTTTTTTTTTTGACAAACGAACACTCCACCTGGCAAACGAACAGCAACCACTCGCGGCTTTATGTAGAGATATATATAATCAAACGTCACTTGGCGATCTGGCTCTTTGAGAGACACTGGGAGGGATGCAGCCACAGCAAATCAGCCACAGCGCTTTTTGGATCTCCTGGTTCCGGAAGGCGTAGATGACGGGATTGATGACGGAGTTGTATGTGGCTGGAAGCAGCGTGGCATAGGTGTAGATGGAAGGGTAGGTGTAATCTGCTATTAAAGAATAAAGGGTGAAAGGCATCCAGCAGGCCGCGAACGTCCCAAGTATGATGGCCAACGTAGATACTCCTTTCCGAGTGGTGACGTAGTGCGAGGTGGCCAGGAAATGGTGCTGTAAGGCAATCTGATGAGCGTGCCTCATGACAATTTTGCAGATTTGAATGTACAGCTGAAGCATGAGTGCAAACATGAGCAGAAAAGAAACGGAAAGGGCGGCGGCATTGTTTTTTGTCAGCGGTCGGATAACACTACACGTTGACTCATCCTTAAGGCAATTCCAACCCATGATAGGCAAAAGTCCCACGCACGTCGACGCTCCCCACAGGAAGATGAGCATGACGTAGGTGAAGGTGACTGTTCTTTCTGAGTTGTACGTCAAAGCGTAGTAAAGAGACAAGTAACGGTCGACGGTGATCGCCAGCAAGCTGCACACCGAGGCACAAAAAGAGGCAGCGATCAGTCCCACCGTGACCAGCTTGGCAGCCTCCGATTGAAGGAGATAGGCAAAAATGAAATTGATAATGAGTCCGACCCCTGCCAAGAGGTCTGCCAGTGCCAAGCTGCCAATGAGGAGGAACATAGGAGCTCGCAGGCTGGGGTTATGGAAGATGATCAGGACCACTATAGCATTTTCACAGGAGATCAGGGTTCCCGACGTACACAGAACAATATCCCATGGGTTTACGATGAGATCTGGTTCTAGCACAGGAATCAGGGAGGAGTCTGCCGCCGAGATATTCTCCGGAGAACTGGCGTCTATATGATCCTGAGGCAGCCAGCTTATATTAACCTTCGTATCTTCATTCATTTTAACCTTCTTCAACCAAAAAAAAAAAAAAAAGACAAGGGATTTATTACACCATTCTACAGGGGCTAGCCGAGGATCATAACATGCTACAGCGATGGTGAAATTGACATATACAAAGACAATGATGACGAAAAAAAAAGGAATGCTGCAAAAAAAAAAAAAAAAAAAGATGAAATGCATGAATGGAGGGACATTGATGAATCAGTGAGAATGACATGAAAGGCACACGGAGGAAATCACATAATGTCGTAATCATCAACATAATTCCAGACAATATTTGCTGGGGATTTAATAATGAAGAAGCAAGAAAAATTGCAAAGAATGCAAAAAAAAGAATAAAAATACAAAAAAGGATCCAAAAAATGCAAAATATAATATAAAATGATCTAAAGAAAGCAAAAAAAATCCAGAAATAGCAAAAAAGATGATGCAAAGAATGCAAAAAAAAATATGATCCACAAAATGCAAAGAAAAAAATGATTGAAAGAATGATTACAATTTTTTTTTTAAAAAATGCAAAAAAAGATGTGACACAAGATGTTAGATTGTAAACAGCAATGACACACCACTGTGCAAATGGGAGATGTGAATGAGGGAGGGGGTGGCGGCACAGTACAATGAAATATTCCCAATGTAGTCACCTTGAGATCTCCAGCCCCGGCCGAGGATGTCTTATTCTAGTCCTGAGATGGTGGTCCAGGTGGCCGGCTCGCCCCGCATCCTCTCCCCGTGCAGGGCTGGGGGTGCCGCCTTGCCTCTTCCCCGCAGGCGGGGGGCTGCAGGTGGAAGTGCGGAGGGGGTCGGGCTGTCAGCTGAGGCTGCTCGCCGGGCGCACATAGCGGGGACAGCGGTGCTGCTGGCTGCCTGCAAGAGGCAGAAAGGAGAGAGGCGCGGGCGCGGGCTAACTGCGCGCTCCGGGGGCGCGCTCCCGCATGAGGCGCGTTCGCGTGGGTCCACCGCAGTGTACTAAGAAGGCCAATTGCTGTAGCAGATGTTAATTCTGTGACAGCTTCAGCAGAGGCATCAACACTGAGCGATCCATGGGTCACATTGTGTGCAGAGGGAGGATTCCAGCTGGATGGCACAGATATTACAACCAACCAGCAGCATTGGCTGTAGGTCACTCCAATGCTTGGACCCACTCTGGTCCTTATTTGTATTCTGATCTATAGAGGGAAATCCAGTTAAAATGGCTCTGACACTGAAAAATAAGCCTCCCTGCAAACAAAAGGTGTAATACCTGTCCTTCCACCTGCGCTGATAGTTGTCACCATTTTTATCTGACACCAGGGCCAGGACAAGGGGTGGGCAGGAGGGGAGGCTGCCTAGGGCGCAGCAGTGGGGGGACCTTAACTCTGCCAAGCCCCAGAACAATGGTGTCCAAACTGCAACCCCAGCGCCCTTTGCTAGCCTTTATCTGGCCCCTGGGGCTCTATTCCTACCGCTGACATTAACAGTGGGGCATAATTCTCACCACTGACATCAATATTGGACCCTATTCCTCCCACTAATATCAATGATGGGGCACTATGCCTCCCATTGACATCAATAATGGGCAACTATTCCTCCCACTGACACCAATATTGGACCCTATTCATCCCACTAATATCAATGATAGGGCACTATGCCTTCCCATTGACATCAATAACGGGACACTATTCCTCCCACTGACACCAATATTGGACCCTGTATCTCCCACTAATATCAATGATGAGGCACTATGCCTCCCATTGACATCAATAACGGGACACTATTCCTCCCACTGACACCAATATTGGACCCTGTTTCTCCCACTAATATCAATGATAGGGCACTATGCCTCCCATTGACATCAATAACGGGACACTATTCCTCCCACTGACACCAATATTGGACCCTGTATCTCCCACTAATATCAATGATGAGGCACTATGCCTCCCATTGACATCAATAACGGGACACTATTCCTCCCACTGACACCAATATTGGACCCTGTTTCTCCCACTAATATCAATGATAGGGCACTATGCCTCCCATTGACATCAATAACGGGACACTATTCCTCCCACTGACACCAATATTGGACCCTGTTTCTCCCACTAATATCAATGGTGGGGCACTATGCCCCCCATTGACACCAATAATGGGATACTATTCCTCCCACTGACTCCAATATTGAACCTTATTCCTCCCACTAATATTAATGATGGGGCACTATGCCCCCCATTGACACCAATAATGGGGTACTATTCCTTCCACTGACTCCAATATTGAGCCCTATTCCTCCCACTAATATCAATGATGGGGCACTATGCCTTCCATTGACACCAATAATGGGATACTATTTCTTCCGCTGACTCCAATATTGGGCCCTATTCCTCCCACTAATATCAATGATGGGGCACTATGCCTTCCATTGACACCAATAATGGGACACTATGTCTTCCACCCTTCCACCCATGGTGGAAGGAAAGAAAATCAATTACTTTATGGGCTGCTTAAAGGTAAAAGTACTCACTGTTACTCTGTATAGTAAGCACCACTTGAAGCCTTCTGTGTTGCATCTTGCTGGCTTCCCCTCTGTTCTGGGTGCCAGTCCCAAAAAAAAGCACATCTCACTCACGCCTATCCACACCTCTCCAACACGGTCTAAATCTCTATGATTAAAACCGAAAGCAAAGATTTATTATATTGTAATGTAAATTTTCTTAGATGTTTTGGCTGCACTAGTTTTCTTTTTTAGGCTCTCTTTCCTTTATATTCTATTGGCGATTTGGCTAGGAAGTCTATTATTTTTTAACAGAACAAGCTGTCCTGCAGATGCATCAGTTAGCGGGCTGAGACAAACCATTTACCACTGAAAATGATCAGCTTTTATGAGGTCAGGTCAAGTGCTTTCTGTAGTGAGTGCTATCCTCCTTGTGGTGAGGTGAAGCATGGTGTGGCAGTACAGAGTTTGGTTGCAGTAAAACTTGTATTGAGCAGAATGCAAACATACAGACATGCTAGTGGGAGAGTGTCGATTAGGGAAACAACTCACAGTTCAATGCAGTCAAAGATATGGCCGAGGAGAGGTGCTGACAGTGTCTGTACCAGAGGATGAAGTGCAGCCTGGACGGTCCTGTCCCAAACAGGGAGGCTTCTTTCCAGGTAGTAAGTCGCTAGCCTGTCCCTTCCCATCAGGAACCTTTCCCTATTGCTAATGGTTTTCCCTAACAAGCAAGGTCTCTTTCCCTACACTAGCCACTCGCAAAATGTGCACCAAAACTTGGGAGCAGGAACTTATATAGACCCTTCTGACCCAAGATGGCCACCAACGGTCATATGGTTGCAGCGTAGCCAACCAGAACAGTGCTCCATTGACCCAAGAAGCCTTCGAGAAATGGTGTCTCCCATTGACTTCTTCTCTAGGTTGTGGTACCATTTAGAAAAAATTAAATGTCACCAACAAGGTATAATAAAAAAAAGTCTTCTTTATTGTATGCAAGGAGTAAAATATTCCATAGAGCAACCAATGCTAATGCATTTCAGTCAAGAAAATACCTTATCCATAGCCTATGAATAAGGTCTTCTCTTGACTGAAACCCATTAGCGTTGGTTGCTCTATGGAATATTGTACTTGCATACAGTAAAGAAGAAACATTTTCTATTTCCCCTTGTTGCCAACAGATAGCCCCAGATAGTATGTCTGTGTGATGTGAGGTGAATTGTCGCTTTCATCTTGAAGAACATTGGTAAAGTGTGTAAACCTTACCAATTGTGTGGACATTCCTTTCTTGTGACTATAAAGGCTAATGGCCAGGGATGTCATGGGAAGGCCTCTGGAAAGGAGTGGGGCACAACATGGTAAAGGCTTGCCATGCCAGCAGTGGATCCCTGTCATATCCATGACAAAGTGGGGCAGAAGCTTGGGGATTTGGCACCAACATCTGGACAATCACAAGCACCCTTACACATCTAACACTACTTTCCCCCATACTGACAATTCTGCTGTCCAAAGGTGCCCCTGTACTCCTTCATCCAGAGTGGATACCCTCTAATACAGGAGATGGCTTACTGGCCAGACCACCAGGTGAAAACAGAGGGGATAAGAAGCCTAAAAATGAAAACTAATTCAGCTCCAACATCTAATGATTAGTAAACTCACCTCTGATTGAAGCCAGCAGGGGGGTGCATGCTAATAAGCTAGGTCACACTGCATTCTTTGCCAAGCAGAGAGATTTACAGCACATAAAATCTCACTGAACCACAGATGCAAACACCAAATCGGTGCTTCTTCCACTCTCCGGGTCCTTTCTGTACCTTGCACCTTCAACCAAACAGCACACTATTCAGTTGTTAATCGTCTGCAGTACAAAATGGCCTTGGTTGGAAGACATGCAGAATTGTGGATGATTATTCATCCACAAAAATGTTTTACTAAACCATTAACTTTTTTCGATAGTGAGAATATACAGAACTTACTATTATTATTAAACAGGATTTATATACAGTAGCGCCAACAGTTTGCACAGCGCTTTACAAAATGAAACTAACTTAGTCTTATTCTAGTAAAGGTATGCTTGTTCTTTGAATGGCATGACATTTAGAATTTCCATTGGTACAAACCACTTCTGCCTAATGATTTGCCAGTATTGTGATGATTGACACTATGATATTTATATTGTAGAGCACAGCATTCAGAGTGTGGAATATGTAACATTCTGCACAGTGTACAGAATAGGGTAGTTTGAAGTATGTTACATACAGCACAGTATATGGAGAAGTCACTTCTCAATCCACTCAGCACATTTTATTTCAACCTCAAAGCTTCTGTTAGTAGATCAATAGGCTTACACTTGTCAAGAGAGACAGAGAGACCAGATTTTCTGGCCAACAACCTTCCTCTCCCTAGGTTTCTTTCTGAAGGGAATCTACACCTACTTCATGCACATCACTTTCCTGCCCCTCTTCTATGTGTGAGGGTGTGAGTAGGGCTACATAACTTCCTGGGTTTTATTTTTTGATGTCAGTGAATTTAG